GGGGGAGTGAGGAGAGTAGCACAAAAAAAATTTCTCTAATTTTTTTTTATACTCTCTAACCAAACACTGAAAATATTTTTCACTCACCAACCAAACAAGGAAAAGTAAGTGATAAAACCGCTCATTTTCCATAAAAAACATTTTCTAGGAAAATATTTTCCATGAAAACATTTTCCTTCGTATCAAACACACCCTTAATTTCACTCTTTTGAAAATTTAAGAACGCAAGAAATAAATTAATCTATTCCACAAATTCTTGAAAGCTATTAATCCCTGCTTTCATGTAATGCACCCATTCAAAATTAAACTACAAGCTTCCGCTGAAGCATTAGAGCAGCTCCTGCATCCTCTGCACCTTTTTCTATCATGATTCAGAAATCTCTGATCAAATATAGAACAAGAGCTGTTCTGCATCATATTTAATAGGATTCAATTTCTAATGTAACTCTGTATTTACCTCTTCCTTGTTAATTATGCCCAAATTTTCTTAACAAATATAATGAGCGTTGATTTGACGCGGCGGTTGTTTTTCAATAAATAAACCCTTCCCCTGCCTCAAAAGTAAAAAAGAACATATTGAGCTTAAGTTTTGCCCGTAAAAATATTTGAATGCTCAGGTCACTCTACAGCTAGAAAAAATAGGAAGTTAGTCCAGGATAATTTTAAGTATATATTTACATTAAGTATGATTTAATAACTTGAAAATAAGGATAAGCTTCAAACTTAAATGTTTTCAGATCTAAGCGTTTATAAGTTTTTGCAGTTGAGAAATCAATTTGATCCAAAATCCAATTACTGGTAACTGATAGTGTCTGCGTTAAATACGAATTGGTGGCCAATAAGAGTAGGTGGCATACAACTTATTAATCCCTCCGGTTTATTTTTTTGGTCTATTTTCTTATTTGTCCGTTAAAAAAATAATATATTTCTATATTTTTTTAGTGAGAAACCTTATAGTCATACAAATGTTATGATAGTCTAAGATCACAAGTTTCAAAAGCTTTATCATCACACAAATATTATGACATATTTAAGATCAAATGTTTCAAAAATCTTTTTTTCTTTATTAAACTTTGTTTCAAGTGAAACATGACAGACAAAGTGAAGAAGTCACTCACTCTCCAGCAAATATAAAACTCCGACATCAAAATATTCTAGCAATTTACATCTCATTTTTTCTTTTTATTTTGCATTTAATTATATCTGACAATGTAATGGACCATTTTAACGTACCTTATATTTACCAACTACCTCTTATGTTATTAACTAGACGAGATTTTTCCACTATTGAACATTCAAAAGTTTAGATGTGAAAGTTGCAAAAGGTACCAAGTTTATTGGGTTTTATATATTATACCTTTATATATGAGTTATGAACTTGATGTAATAGTGTGTCACACATGATCTAAAAAAATCTAACAGATATATGCTTTATAGTTATCTATTTATTGTCATTGACCATCATGACATGTACATAGAATCTTGAAAATAACATTTAAATGGTAAAAGTGATGCAAAAAAGGAAAAATTATAAATGTACATATTTTATAAATCTAAGAAAGTATTAATAATTAACTAAATATAGCTAGTTTCTTAGTTGGGGTAGTCTATTGAGGGAAAATTAGAAGATCTAAGTTGATATGATAAGCAAATTAATTTCCTAGCATAGAGCTCGTTTGGATTAGCTGATTTGAAGTAGCTAATAAGCATTAAGTGCTGAAAAATACTTTTAACTGCTAAAACTGATTTAATAAATAAGCAGTTACGTGTTTGGATACAAGTGCTGAAATTGATAATAAGCTGTTGCAGTATTTGATAAAAAAAGAAGTGTTGATAAACTCTCTTTCGGTTAAAATGACTTAAATAACCTTATAATTGTTTACACTTATAAGGGCGTAATTTCTTCAAAATTTTAGATTCCCGATCGATTTAAATACAAAAAATTCTATTTGTTATTTTATTTTAAATACAACTATGCTTAGATAAGATAATTTGTATGATAAATATAATTTATTTTATGATAAACATATAATTATAAGTTATAATAATTAATAAATTGACAAAAAATTCTGAGTAAAAAATAAATCTAAATAGGACAAAATATTTGAAGAGAAACAAACACTGTCTTCATTACCACAACACTTAAAAAGCAATACACCAATTTTTTTTTATATATCCTCATTTATTACATACAGTTCAAAGATTAATACACATACACATAGATACAAATANGATTAGGTTGAAACAATACTTGAGGCAGTGAGTATCGATGTTAGCGCTTTTTTTTCTAAAAAAGAATATTTTAAGGATAAAATAGTAAAAATCTTGGTCAAACGTAAAGTACTTATAAGCTAAAAAAAATCATAAGCTGGTGACCAGCTTATGGTTTTTGGCTTATTTTTTGCTTATAAGCACGTAGCTTATAAGTACTTTTAACTTTACCAAACACATAAATAAGTTGAAAAGTACTCATAAGCTAGTTTGACCACCTTATAAGCTTAGCCAAACACCCT